CCTATTTTGACTAAAAAAGGAGAATCCTGAAAACTTTCATTTATCTCATCTCACTGTCTTACACAGAAGAGTGTGATAACATGGCTGGAATTAGGTGTTTGTACTTACATACAGTTTCTTGCTGCTAAGTCTCTATGGACAAACTTTTTGCTTGCAAGGTATTTCATCCCTTTTGCGACCTGAAGGCCAAATCCAATTAAATCTTTTACTGTTGGGTTCTGTAAAATACAAACATTTGTGATACAATGAACGCAGAAGCCCAAGGAGCAGACTGGTTTTTTTTTTGCTGTGACTTTCAGTTTTTGACACACCTATCTTGCCACCAGAATGATCAAGGCAGGTTGGTGCTTGTAATAAAACTGGCATAAGCTTAGGTCAGGTTCTTACCTCCAGTGAGGAAACACACTTCAAGAAATCAGTAAAACTGACAGACTCCAGAAGAGCAGAGTTTGTAGCATAAGCAGCATGACCTGGGCTGGCAAGTGGAACAGTATGCTGAAACCTCAACTTCACAGCTGATCCACAAAATTCAAATTTGTAAACTTAGAGTAATAGCATGTAACTCAGTAGAAGGTGCTAACTATGAACTTGGAGCTCATAAGCTGGAAATGACTAAGAAAGGAGAGAGTCTTGTTTGGGGCAAAATAGGTGCAAGCTGTCATCAATATGACGCCATGGAAAAGACAAATGAGACCTTAACAGTTACCAGAGGAAGATTTTCCGCAAAGATCGGTTATTCTTTCTGCTGGTTTACAAGTCTATTTTCTAACTGAAAATATTAAATATATAAATAAATATAAACATAAACCTGTAATTCTTTTATCCAACAGCATGACTTGTTATGTAATAGTATGATCAGACAGATTTTTGTGTTGTTGACATCGCTCCATATCATTTTCTTCTGTGGAACAATCCTGTCCAACTGTGGTCATTATTCTATTTATTTCAGGGAGGGCCATGGCACTATTCACAGTAAAGGTCCCTGGTGCTTGTAGAATGAAACAAGCTCAAAAGGGAAGAGGTCCCTACCTCAGAAAGCTTAACTTCCCCCAACAATTTGTCAAGATGCATTTTTTTTTTTAATTTTACTGGCTATTGTTGATTGCTACAGAGGCAGGGGGGAAATCCCATTGGCTCAGAAGTCGCTTTATATTGTCCTATCACTGTGAAATGGGTGAAATACTACAGTATAAAGTGAGCTTACACTACCTGAGGCAAGACCTGTGGTCTTATACTTGAGAGAAAGCAGTGAGGCATGTCTGAGAAATCTGCAGTCTTTCAATGAAAATGGGGAAAATCTGTGATAAGAGAGTACTCATAGTTTGTATAACAATTGCTGTTTTTCTTTCTTAAGATAAGAAGAAAAAATACTGATAATAACATGACTGTGACACACTCTAGCTGGACGTGAAGATCCCTTACCTAGGAGTTGGAAGAGCAGATGGTGACGACTGGCACAGCTGTGCTGAAGTCAACAGAGATATGCCAGTTTAAACCAGCAGATGGTTGGGCCCCTTGACTTAGATCTCATAAACACACTTGTTTATAAAGAGGCTTATGGATGGGAAATGAGAAATACTTATTGCTGATAATTTCTGGGAAACATTCTAGAGAGGAATTTGAGGGGGAAGGGAAGGAGTGGCAGTGCTGTGGTCGGGCTCGGTGCCAGCCTAGGCAAGTGCTAAAGGTTAAGGTGTAGTAACAGCAACAAGTTATAGACGTAATGTAATTACCAGAGCTTATAACCTGTGGTGTTGGAGCAGGGCGTGGCTAGACTTGCATTACCATTTGGTAGACCTCACCATGTACTTACATGAGTCTCATTCCTAATGAAGTTTCGAAGATCTCCGTGTTTCATGTATGGAAGAACGACTAAGGGGGATCCTTCATTGGGCAAACAGATTCCCAGGAGTGACAGAACATTGGGATGAGTGAAATCTTTCATGATTATTCCTTCTTTCAGAAACTGAGCTACTTCTTCCAAGTCTGTAATCCCTGAGAAATCCAGTAATAAAATGAATTAATTAAAAAAACCCCAAACAAACTACAGTTCATTTCTGTACAGCATGTCATTGCACAACAAAGCAACAATGAGAAGCTACAAACATGCTCCCCACCTCCCACATTACAACTAGGTTATGTGCATCGGTTTTCTTACAATGACCAAATACAGTTTGTTGGTGATTTTAATTCCCTTCCTCCTTTTCTTATTAGGAATTATTTAGAATTGAATAGCAACACTTGAGTAAAGCCTTTAATAAATGTTGTTATAGTCTCTTCCTGTTTTTTCCAGCAGCTTTGCCTGCTCTTCAGCAATTTAACTTCCAAAACCAAATCTTCAGTAGTCAGTAGAACAAAAAATGACACTGCCTTTCCCTCATTTTCCTCTGTCCTTTTCTTTGTAGAGAAAATACATGGGCATTTCATTTGATGCACAAATATATACCAATGCCTTGTGGTAATCTAAAGTCACTGGAATTGCTCCAGAGATAAATCTGATCCAGCTGCAACTAAGAATCTTTGTTTATGAAAGTACACTTCACTGTAATTAATTAGTTCGTACTGGTTATTTTTGGAATTATGGTAATGTCTCATTATTAAACACGTAACTCACTATTCAGTGACTTCACAGCACAATGAATTTTCCTGCCATCGTTATCCAGCAACGTCCCATGGTACACACAACCAAAATGTCCTGAGAAAAAAATGAGCAAGATTAGCTTTAATAAGTAAAATTACCTTTCTGGTATTTTCAACTGGCTAGCAATTATGCTTTAAGAAAGTGATCACACTCCATTTCTGTTCAATTCCCAACACTTGTAATATATACTTCATAACTAACACATAAAACTATCATTACATAAAACCATCATTACATAAAATGAAAACTCTATTTGCAGCATAATTGATATTTCTTGACCTAGATGGAGAGTATAAATAATGACAAGGTCGGCGCCACAACTGCTTCATATTCTTGTAATGACTGTGCACACAAAAACCATGTCAACCCATTCCCACCATACTCTCTGGTTAGATATATGTCAAAGGAGGGCACTGGAAGGCACAAGAGAGCAGTTAGAAGGAGTTGATGTGATCGCTGGATCGGTGGTTCTCAATAGTCTCTAAGCCCATGCTAAATGGTCCACTGGATTGTACAGCCTTGATGCCTCTTCAGTGGAAAGTCGTATGAGAGTCACTGTGGGCTTACAGTCTCTCAAGTCTTGCTATTCCATGGAAAAGGCTGAGTGTTAAAAGTGGTGTGTTGGCCACGAATGGTTTGGGAGTCGCTCTACCGATGACAGACGGACCACATCATTAGGCGGCAGTCTATGGTCTCTGCTATGGCCTAGTTCCTAGTGCAAAATAGCACTAGAAGATGATCTGTGAAAATCGCCTTCTTGCTGATGGTCTAAATAGTGAAACAAACTGCCAGGGACACAGAAATCCTTCCTGATCCTGTGCTTTCCTGTGAAGCAAATGGGGTAGTCTGCAGAGCGGGGAAACCTACTGTAAGTCAAATTGACCTGTTTGGGACACACAGAGAACTTTGAGCTCCAGGCACGTGCATTAATTTATCCAAATCAAATTATGTACACGTAATAGTGGCTTTCCTTCACAGATGTACTATTTACTGGACACTTTAAAAATATTAATATTTGCAGTTAGAAAGCAAAATAGTTTTTTTGTCAAGTGTTAGTTCTGCAGAGAACAAGACTATCTAATTAATTCTTCTAGGTTCCAGTCATAAGTGCTGGTGAGAGCCCAGTTGGCTTTGATTTTGGCTTGGGGTAAAATTAATACAAAGTTTGTTTTACAAAAGCAACTAAAATCCCATCAGACCACAGATTGTTTGGAGCCTGGGCACAAATCCTAAAGCTTGGATTGGGTGTGTCTGAAATATTTTTGGGTTTGGCCCATTTCTAGTTATGGAGGAGAAAATTAAAAAAGGTTAGTTATATCGGTGTCATTCCTGATATTTTTCAACACTTAAAAAATGGGAAATTACTTGACCTTTTCTGAAACAAGAATGAAAAGAAAAAGGCCCACCCCTGCTTTGGGGATGAAGAAGTGTAATACATGGAAGGGAAACACACTGACTGTTTGTTTGATTTGTGGCTATTTTCCTGCAGAAGAGGCATTAGGAATATCATTTATAGCCAAATTTTTATCAGTATTCTGATACTCAACAAGAGACCTCTCTTGCATGATCTGCAGAAGTACTGAAAATCCGTTTCTACTTGGGTTACTGATAGGTACTCAATAGTACAGAGTTTAATAAATGCCCCTAACAGAAATACTGGCTTGGGCTATGAAAGAAGGAGAGAACTTGCTTACGGAGATGTAGAGGAATAGGAGTGATGGGAAAAAATCAGAAAAATAGGGGACTTGCTATATCAGGGACAAAAATAAGGGGAAGTGAATCAGGAGCTACGCATTACTGCAGCTGGGATGAGAGAGGAATGAGGGGGAACAGAGAGCCTTTGGCAGGAGGAAACAGCAAATTCCTCAGAGCTGGGGGAAACTTGCGGAGGATAAAGGGGTGTGTGCATCTCACCTGGCCCATGGGGACTTTTACTGAATGCACTAGTGACTGCAGGAGTTTTCAGTGTGCTGTAGCCATCCTGCCAGCTCTCAGGCTCCGAGTTTAAGGTTGCTGGCGCCCCCAACTCGGCATCCCCTGCCATTTAGGTGTGTGCCTTAGGCTTGTGCAATGTTCTGCAGCAACCTCACTCCTCCACCGCAGCCTCATGGATCAGAAGCCCTGGCTGAGCTTTTCTGTAGCCTGGAAAAGGGTTCCTAGGGAGAACCAGCAAGTTTCTGAGTTCAAAGGAGCCCCATTAATTGGCAGACTCCTTCCTGCCTCTGGTGTCTTCTCCAACTGATCAAATGCACAACCCTTCATCTGACTTCAAAGGACAGCCCCTTGGCTCCCCCCTTGATTTGGTGCATGAAATGGAGTGCTGTAAGAGGTAAAAAGCTTGAAAAACCTCTGTGTAGACACCTTATTCAGAATGGTTTATAATGAATGGGTGTGCAAAAAGAACAGCAGTTTGCAAGGTTAAGAGTCGTGGTACCCACCTCTTCCTATTACTTCGCTGAAGTGCACAATCAGGCTGTCAGCACCAATAACCACATGCTGCACTTCTTTGACCAGGTCGGGGTTTAAGGCACTGATGTCAATGTGGACATTAGTTTGGAGAAGTGGACTGGCTAAATCTGAGTCCCCGCTGGACAGAATTGGGGAGAGGTCAGAGTGAGGATACTGGGCAGGTCTGCATGATCCATTCTGAGACATGCTTGGAAACTGATCTGCAAGATGAACAGAAACTGTTATAATCCTTTCAGACTTCTCCTTGGAAAATGCAGAGCTTTATTTCATTGGTGAGCAAGGGTTTGAGTTTATCAGTTTGGAAGTGGCTTGGCTTTGCAGAAGTTTTGGTCACAAAGGGAAAATGAAAATAGCATTGCTAATCTGCCAAACTCCAGGAAAACCGCGTCACTAGAAACTTATGCTTGTCTCAGCTCTACTTTTATGAAAGTAAATGGCAAAACTTCCACTTTTCTGAGGGGATGGAATGAAGCCTTGTCACTTCTTGCCAAGTGTAGGTTTATAGCATTTCTAGTAATTGGGAGTAACAAGAGTAAAATGGAAAAATGACAGCGATATGGGAGGAGGAAGTAGTGAACAATTAAAAACATGAAATCTTTTATTATTGTCATGTTCTAATTTGGTAGGGAACTTCACATTTCATGAAGGTTTCCAAACTGCTGGTGACTAGCTATATTTATCCAATGGTAAATATTCAACCAGGGAAATGCCTAGAGGTGATTCATATCCTGTAACTGCTGAAGATAATACAGTTGGTGCTACTCATGAAAATAACATGAGCCAGCTGATTTAAAATAGCAGAAATTAAAATGTTTCAGTCAAGCAAGGAGTATTTATTTGAGAAAATTATTTTTGTCAACAGCATGTTGTTCAGGTATTTTAAATTGCTTTTGTTTAAAAGATTTTTTTCTAGCATTCTGTGTAATAGAATCAAGGAACTAAGTTTAATTTACACCAATTTCAGTTTGGAATTATTCCAGTGGAGTGAATGAGCAGAATTTAGCCCAGGGTCAAAAAGAAAAAAAGGGAATAAATTTAACAACAGAAATTATCAGGTATTTTATCACAAGGAGTAAAAGGTTGTTGTACAGACATGCCTTACGTATTTATGTATAAAACCTGGGAAGTTTTCGTATAGGGCTGTTATTGCTCTAGGTGCTGAGAAAAACTCAGTGCTGCTCTATCTAGAAGCAAAAATACAAACTCTTACATTAACAAAGCCATGTTTATGTCACCAGGGGTAAATATCTCTTTAATAATCACAGTAAAATACTCTAGCCATGGCTGCAAAATAATTTTTACAGCTGCTACATGTAAATCTGCATGTTTTCTAATGTTCCTGTCATTTTAATCTTTGACAGTAATTGATGTGAACATTCCTACAGGAATATTAAGTGAATGCACCTCCTTCTTGGGTGCGCTCTCTGCTGTGCTTTGCCAGTGCACAGTGGCCCCAGGACCACTGCAGATTTACCTTCCACCAAGGATCTTTGTATAGTTTTGTCTCGTGTACCACTTTCCCTTCTAACCAGTGGCACAGGCTTTCCTTTTCCTTTGGGAATCTTTCAATCAAGAAACTTCCTGTGCGAGCTGGCAGCGGCAATTAAAGAATCATAAAGGAAGCTGGGAACGGGCCTGGCTCTCAAATAGCTCCGCAATTGGGGATTACAAAGGTGGAATAAGGATTTGGAGTCATTTCTATTGAGTTGTATATGGCAGCACCTAAATAGTACAAGACTAAGTCTATACCAAGACTAACAAATATCTGTGATATCTCAAATATCATAATATGGTAACTCCTAATAGTTAAAGACTCTTTAATGCTAATCACAGAATATGGTTTCCACATGTCTTAAAGGACATGTTCAGCCTAAAGTGGTATGATAAGTGCAGCAGAGTGCTCTTCTGGAGAATACCCACTCTAAAGTGGTGTTACAAGGCACAAAAACGTATTCAGCATAGGGTTATTCTTCTGTCATGCCCACAGGTCTGAAAATGAACAGCATGTTTTCTGAGACTGGCATCTCAGTACACATGGACCTCCACTCAATTTGTCACAGTTTTCACATCCCTTTAGCTTAATTTTTAAAATCAACATTTCTGCATCATACAATGTGCCATTTTATAGGAGGGTTATGAACAGACAAAACAATATCAGTTTACAAAACTCCATGTCCCATGACTGACAGAACTGCTTTATAATGACTGTATGAAGTCACTGAGACACACTAAATCTACAGGTATCCTTAAAATCACTTTTTTCAGAGTGGATTTGCGCATGGTGTGATGGACCTTATGATAACACAAAATTGTTATATCCACTAACTCCTAATAAATTGTGGAGCATACTTACAGAGAGTTTTTACTAATAGCATTTTATATATTCCTCCAACTAAGTAAAAGTAAAAATCCTTTGCACCTTAATCTTGGGAAGCACCTGAGAAGCTCAGTTCGAATAGCAAGCCTGTGAACACGCGAAAGTCCCAAACAATGCAGACACAGACAAACAAGATGAGAAACTGAAATTAAGATATTGATCAAAATAGCTATCATCTGAAGATACCTGAAAAGCAAGATGTATAAAGTATCATCCATACAGATGCATAATAGGGGTGTACCTTCTAGAAAAGTTGATCTGTAGTCTACAGATTCACTTGAAACCATTTCTGTCGTTGGACTTACACTCCTTGCGCTCACCAGCCTGTCCAGGTGAGGAGTGTGCACTCTGCCATCATAGCGCACTAGGTCGCTTCCCAGATCTGAAGGGGGAGGAGAAAGAAATATTAGAAAACCTTCATGTTTACTGTGTGCCAACATTCATTTAAGTATTTATTTAAGTTTAGATGTTCTGCTCTGCTGGGAAGAGGGTTGGGTTGTTGCTGAGGCAGACAGGCGCAGGACCTGAACTTGAGCTATTTGTACAGCACAGGATTTGCTGTAACTTGTGTTAAAGCCCCACTCTTGGCCACACTGGAAGATCTAGGAGAGCTTCGAAGCCTCTGGGGCCAGCTTCATGATCTGACTGTGATACAGCATCAGAACAAGACATGGTTACATACTAGCTCCCCTCCTCCTCCCACCTTGCGCAGTGCAGCAGTTCCACTGGAAGGAAACCCAGACAGAGGGGCCAGAGGAGAGGCACACTCTGACCAAGTTCCTGATTTGGGTGAACAGGAGACCAGGACATCGCAGCGCTCTGTGTCTTGCACAACTTAGACACAGCCTGGAGGACTACAAGGCAACTGGATGAAGCTGAAATACTTGTGATTCCATTTTCTTTTCCATGTCATTTACTTGTCCCCTCTTCCAAGGCTGATTGGGGGAGAGAAGTTACTAAGTTTTCCTAATAGCTCAGAGTTCCTCCGAAATCCTTCTCCTTTAGGTATAGCGTGGCCCTTCACCCAGCTCAGGCAAGAGCCAAGGGCTGAAATGCAACTAAACATTGACTTGATTGTGAAACATCTGCTGACAGGTTATAACAGGGCATTGCATGGCAGTTAAGCAAAGCATAAATTCATGTATGTTTTTAAAATCTAAGATATAATAACAGTATTATTTGATGGAATTGACTATGATGGACCTTTAATTTGTTTCTTCTTCCTTCTCCAGAGGAAAAACACCAAAAAGATAAAAATTAAAACTGATGTTGAAACAACTCCAGCAATTAGTCCTGTGAAATTCTGATCTTGCCGAATCAGCACTTTTCCGATAACTGTTGACAAAACTTCTTGCTTCCACTGAAAAAAACAAAGAAAAAAAATAGTGTGATGATTTCAAAAGACAAGGGAGAAGTAGATTATTAGTACTAAAGTATGAGCTGATATGTCCCATATGTATTAAATCTTGATTTTGTGATGCTGTACTGCGATAAGACACTGGGAGTGGAAAAATTATCATATTGGTGTACGCAAAAGCAGATCTACATTTTTATGATTCATTACATACCTTCAAGAGCTCTGGTAGTGACACAGCTATGTATGTGCTACACCACACACACGGCACGCACTCACACATGCACTCTGGATAACAGGGTCCCACTGCTAGCAGATGTTAATTCAAAATGTTAAATTCGTACTTTTACTCAAATGGTGCAGGGAAATGCATGGGCCTATGGATATACAGGCTGAGACGTATGTTAAAAAAAAATAGCTCAAATGTCTTTAATATGTGTCCTTCTGGCATAAACACGCTGTAACATCAAACTCTCTCTCTGTTGACAGCGTGCCTGCATTTTAGTTCCCAAGGTCACGTGAGCCTGTCCCTTGCCAGCTTCTAGCTTGTCGGCAGTTTAAAGAAACAAAACAAAACAAAAAAACAACCCCAAAAATCAACAAGCAAACAAACACCAAGCAGCTAACAGGGCAAAACTGTTTTAGGTCACACGGCACTAGCTCAGTCAGTTGGAATGCATTTGGCCATCTTTTCTCTTCCTCCTGTGGAATTCATTCCTCTGGGTACTGTAATGATGGATTTGCCCGTCAAAAGAGCAAATTTTCTTCTTCGCTGGGCAGACTGCAATTTCTGAGGCTCCTTGCCAGTAAACAAGCAGAAACCTTACTTAACCCCTTTATGTTGTGTTCTTTTCTACGTACGAAATACATGTCACGCATGTCTGTTTCTTAGAGGTTAAGGAAATATCACATAGTAGAACTGATTGAATGTAGTGCCAGTCCTGCTTGCATATGTAAAAATACGAACAGGTACAGAATGCAACATATGCACAAGTATTATATGAAACTAGGCATTTACAGGTGTGGGAAACAGATTTGCCAAAAGGAGAGCTGCATCTGATTTTATAGTTTGCCTGATACATCCAAGAAATTTGATTTGTACTTTTCGAAGTAAATTAATATTAAAATAAATTAATATTTACTGTATTAATAAAGCAAATTAGTTATTACTATTTACTTCGATTGCAGTAGCACATAGGAATACCATTCACAGCCCAGGATCCTATTGAGACGAATGCCATAAAGACATAAAAAAAATAGATGGTCCCTGCTCCAAAGAGCTTGCATAGACTTTGATCTTAGTCACACTTATATGACTGGCAAAGTTTACACTGTTTTCTGTGAATCAGAGTCCATGATCATCAAATTTCATAATTTAAAGGTCATTCCCTTCCACTGTGATTTTCCTTTTTTTATATTTTAAAAAAATACAAAGATACTGAAAGATTTGTGTCTTATTCTATGAATCGGTATGTCAAAACTGTCTACAATTTAAACTTGCTGTAGCACTCTGAATGACTCTAGTGAGACCACCTTTAGAACAATAATTTTAGAACTCAAACATTTGTCCTAAGTGTCAGCATCTTACAAAAAGAATTGAAAGGAAATTACAAAAAGCAGACAAAAAATTCTTTCAGAAAGGATCCGATCCTATTGACTGCAGCAGAATTTTTTGCTGAAAAAAGGACTTGTGAGCTCCAGAGTAAACCTACTCCATTATAGCTTCCCATTCTTCCCCATATGTTTCCTCTTGTGTTTGGATTAATAACTATCATTTTATTTCTGTGCCTAGTTTAGGTCCTGCTTTGTGCTTAAGGCTCCAGAAAGTCTCTGTACAAACAGGTAATAACAACAATGATGATAATATTTCTTTTAAAATAGTCGATATTATTTGAATTTCCATCCCAATATTACAGAGATATCTGTAAACACAGGCTTAGGCTTAAATTTAAAGTTTATAGGTTCAATAGTGACATTGGGAATGATAATAAAAATGGCATTAACATCTCACGTGTGGTGTAGCTGCCTCACCTCTATATTTAGCTCGCCGTTGGATTTCAGGAGATCGCTGGGAACTGTACACAGAATTGATTCCGACTGCAGGAGGAGGTTTTCACAGCTTTTATTTCCGACTTTTAGCACCTCTCCTTTAACAGCTTCTGAATCAATATAATTTCCCTTGGAAAAAAAAATCAATTTCATATTACATAACCGTCTCATAAAAGTTAAGGAGAAGTCCTTTTATTACCTTGGAAAATGTTTTTAATGGAAAAACAATTGTGAAATAAAAGACTAATGCAAATTTACATTGCCCTGTCAATATGCATGTATCAGGTTTTTTCATGTAAATGGGAGTTTGACAGACAGGCCAGGGGGGGTTGATAAAGCTTACAGATAAAATCTGCTGTCACTAATACTCATACAGCCCATACAGACTTCTAAAAATGTAAATGTCCGAGGGATAAATTCTGTTGGTCCTGTTTAGATTTTTGCATAATTTGCACAAGAAAGGAAGCATTATGTGACCCTGTTGTTTATACAAAACTGGCATTATATTATCCACAAACTAAAGGCATCTCAAACATTTTGTTTTGCAAGTGGTTATGGTAGCAGGAGTGAAGCTTTCAAAAAGAACTAATTGATTATAATCATAAAAATGCACAAATCTGTTAAAATCACGTTCCACAGACCAAAGAGGACAAACCCTGGTAAAGATGACAGCATGAAAAGTGCACTTCCTACTCAGAAAACCTGCTTTCACATCCCAGAGTTGGATGAAATATTATTCCTTCTGGTATCGTGATAGTAGTATCCAAAGGCCAAGTTCAGGATCTTTTGAACTCAGGAAGGCATCAGTATTTAAGAAGCTGCTGTACCCTGTGTACAGTCCAGCTTAAGATAAGATGAAAGAACAGGCATATTAAGTGGGAGTAAAAGGGGAGAAGGGAGGCTGGGGAGTAACACTAATACAGGCTACTTATGTGGGCTGGATATGGGAGTTTCTCTTGAGAAGGGAGGAAGGCGTCATGGCTGACACTGCTCTGAGGCCTCATACACTGGAAAGAAAACAAGAATCCGATTCTGAGGGGCAAAAAAATCTTACTTTGGAATATGTTTTGGGTGTGCTGCAGAATCAGACTGAGCCCTGGGAAAATGTTAATAAAAATATAGGAGAACCAGTTTAACTGTGGCAAAGCCACAGTCCAGGTGAGTACTTTTTAATCGCTGGCCAAAAAAGTCCATTTTGCACTCTATCTTGTGTCTACTTGGAGCCTTTCTGTTTGGTGTTAATTAAGTAAATATTCAATGTTTATTGCTTATTTATTAGTATGGAGGTTTGCTGCAGATTGTGAGCCATTCATGTTCAAATCTTTTCTTTGAATGATGTACCTCAAAAGACTTGAATGTGGGTCTTCCATCTCCAGGATAAATGGAGAGTAAATCCTGGAGAGTGTGGGTGAGTGGCCTCTCTTTTTCTTCTATGTCAAATCTTAGAATTTTTTCTCCACCAAAACTGATGCTTACCCAAAGGAAAAGAAAAAATCATACTGACATTTCCTAAGGTGGTCCTTAGCCAGTTATAATAAAGATAGTAGTTTTTACTTATAACCATTACCATTATATTACCTTTAATATATCATAATTTAAAATATATTCAGTATAATATCTCAACATATTAAAAGATTCAAAACTCTCTCAGCAGTGGTTTTGCTCTTCTAAGGACCACAGAATTTGCCTATGATTTTAAGAAAAGGAGGAAACTGACTCCTCTGGGAAAAAATATTTTCTGTTTTAAAATGCGTATTACCCCCTTCTTACTGAGCAATGCCCTTGCACGCAAGTTGGATAAGCTAGATACTGGACTGAGTAGCTCTTGCAAACCAATCTGATAGACCAACTATCTCACAACTTTAGAGAGATGGGAATAATTTGGATGAAGGTCTAGAAGCAGTAGAAAGACCACAAACTAAGGTGTGGAAATTTTGAGATTGGTGTCAGAAGAATTTTTGAGGTTCCTAAGCAGAGCGAGTTGACTTGGGAAGAATGAAGAGTTACTGCTGCTGCAGAGCTTCCATTTCAGAAATACCAGGGTTTCCATATTGCACTCTCTTGTACCAGACAGTGAGAAAAACATTTTCTATGCGATGTTGAAAATAGAGTGACCTATAAATATACAAGAAGAGTTCCTTAAGATTGTCTCATAAAGAATGTGTTGTATTGGCTTAGGAATAGACAATTTAGTAAGTCTTGTCGTACTCTTAGTTTTAGGGTAGATGTGCCAGAGGACAGCCAAGATCTCAGATGTGATGTGTAACATGAAATGACAATTGTGCTACTTATTTCTGTAGTGGAAGATTTATATTTATAAATACAACTTAGTCACCTAGCGGCCCATTCCTAGGCCTCCTCTGGAAGCACGCACAGAGTCCCTGCACCAGCTTGGTGCACAAGCACAACCCCAGATGAGGTCAGGCCTCTGGGCAGAGGTAAGAAGCTGTTTCTTTCCTTATTTATTGTTTTTCTTCACAGCTAGGACACACTGGGCTGTCAGCGGCCAGCTTGCAGGTCTGGGTCAGTGGCTCCTGCAGGAGGCAGCAAGTAGACTGTCCTCTTGAGCAGACTTAGGTCATCGGTCGTCCCCAACAGCAAAACACCAGAATCTCTCCTGCCCCGAGAGCTTCCTGTGTTGGCGGGAGACAGGAGCCCTTCTGAAGTGGTGTCTTCACAGTGTTGAAGCAGAGAAGTGCCTCAAGCCACTCTGCCATGACCCCTCTGACTGGGGCATGGTGGGCACTGAGAGACTTCAAAGAGCCACATACTTGGCAGAGGAAGATAGTGATGATGTGGGACCTTGAGAGGCTCGGTAGTGTGGAAGACAAAAGGGCTGGCACTGAAGACAAGAAGGGCTGGCATTCGTGGCACACAGTGCCCTGACTGTGTTTTAGACAGAAGACTTAATGTTTTCTTGTGTGTAACATTTTCTTACAAAAACATCTTATGGTCATCAGGGGAAACCAAACAGAACCTTTCAATCGGTACCCACCGTCATTTGATGAAAGCCAAATATGTCACACTAGATTAGTTTGATTGAAAAACTTGTGATAAAAGCTTCCTCCGCCCCTCTGAAACTAATTAAGAAAAAGATAAAAGAACTTTGGTTTGGTAGAACAGACTGTTCACTGAAGCAAGCTGCCATTTAATTTCATGCTGAGTTGCTTAATTACTGCACAAAATATGACCATGAGGCATGTAAACTTGTGTGTGTGTATTTTTGAATGCGGGTACGGGGCGAGGGAAAAGTGTTGCCAATATGGCTTGTGATGATCTTTTCGGTCCTGACTATAATTTCTGAAAGTCGCTCCAGTGTTTTGATAGAAGCATCCCACTATAACTAATTCTATTTAGAGGAAGATGTTAAATTGGTGCTTGTTCATGCTTTGTTCTAGGAGACCAGCTTTCACTGATGTTATTCTCCAGTTGGTTGCCAGGAAATAACCAGAGCATTAGGCTTAGGTAGACATCTGCCTTGGGTGCCATGACTACAGGTGACATCAATACTACAAAATTGTGACTTTAGTCAGTCTTCAGTGGGACAGTCTTCAGCCAGCCTTTCTCATCTGAATGGCTTCTTCCCAGCAATAAACAGCACTAGGGACTTCTCCTTCAGGGAGAATAAAAGGTTCAAGAGTGAAAGAAAAAGAAAGTTAAAAAACAAACTAATTTTCAACCCTCAGTCTCTGGGAAGATTATGGAGCAAGTCCTCATGGAAGCATTTCCAGGTAGAGGAAGGACAAGAACGTGTTTGGGAACAGCCAGCACAGGTTTCCCAAGGGTGGATTTTGCCTGAGCAGCCTGATTGCCTCCTATGCAGACATGACTGGCTCTGTAGATGCAGGGAAAGCACTGGACAATGTTTACCTTGATTTTAGCAAGGTTTGCAACACAATCTCTCCTAGCAATGAAAACAAATTGGGATGATATGGACTGGACGGATGGACTATAAGGTGGGTGAAAAACTGCCTGGCCATCAGCTCAAATCTTAGAAGTCTAACAAGCGGCATTCGTCAATGCCTAATACTGGGATCAATATTGCTTAAAATCTTTATTGACAGCCTGGATAAAGGGACAGGATGCACTGTCCTTGCGCTTTCAGATGACATCAAGTTTAGGAAAATGATATACTGGACCACAAGGTGAAATCAGACAGCAGTGTGCTGTTCTAGTGATGAAGGCTCACCACATATTTTAGCAGCAGCAAAGCCAATAGATTGAAGGTGATTGTTCTCCTCTGCTCAGCACTTGTGAGGCCACACCTGGAAAATTGTGTGGAGTTTTGAACCCCACAGAACAAGAGAGATACTGACAAACTGGATGAAGTACAGCAAAGGGCCACTGAGCTAGGAAGGGAGCTGAAGCACAGGATGCACAACGCAGGGCTAGTGGAGCTGGGTTTTTCAAAGCTGTAAAATCTCCGTTCTTGGAGATTTTAAAAACTCATCTAGACAAGGCCATAGGCAACCTGACCTAATTTTTAACTTAGCCCTGTTTTGAGCAAGGAGGTTAGACTACGAAGACCTCCAGAGGTTCCTTGCAATCTAAGTTATTCTATGATTCTTCTCAAGTTAGTCTTCTTTCCAATTGGTTGATATGCATGACCTGGAAAATACTGGAAAACACTGCTGTCACTGCACAGAGGCACTGAGCCATGCAGCAGCTATATATTCCCAGCTCTCCGTTGACCCACACACCAGAACTCTTTCTCATGTTTCTCCATAACTGGAGAATTGCTCTGCATTGAGGAAGGGGTGATTGTATGGCCACAAGTTCCAAGCAGAAAAACTAAACAAAAAAATGAAAGTCAGACTGATTATTCTTTGGAATTTTCCCAAAACATTTTGTGGAGACAGATCAATATTCAGAGAGTTTGACTGGAACCCAGCATGGCTGACAGAGGCTGAGGTAACTCCCTCTGATTTCCTGCAGCTCAGGAGCTGGCCCACTGGACCATCTTGGAGTCAAAGACCTCAGGGCTTCCAGGTTTCATGGCTGTCATAGGGGAATGGAGTTTTGGCTTACAGAGCTATGAGGCAGCTACACAAAGAGATGACCCCAGCATTAAAGCTGATTCTCTTCTGTAAAGCATTTTTTATAGATTATATTCTATATAAATTATAGA